GCCCCGCCCCGCCCCGCTGGCCACGCCTCCCCCCGCGGCGGCGACTTCGCCGGGCCGTGCTCCGCCTTCTTCGGGCCGCGCCGCCACCTCGGCCCGCCCACCCTGCCAAAGTAGCCAATTAAACGGCCCGAATCTGTGTCCCTGCGGGCCCCTCCCTAGCAGCGATTGGCTAACGAGGCCTGGTTTCCAGAAATGGGCACTACTTCCGGGCAAGGTTGGCGGAGGAGGTTACTGGGCCGGCGGATTGACGGGAGGCGCGGGCGGTGCGGTCGGGCACATGCGCACTCGGGCCTGGCGCCCCGGACCGGTCGCATTCTTGAGGTTACGGGAAGGGAGCGAGACGTGTGCGCATGCGTGGGCACACCCTGCGCGAACTCCAGTTACCTTGGCGATGACAGGGCGCTCTTCCTCCAGTGCCACTGCAGTTGACTCTCTGCCGCTGCGGCGAGGACGGTGGAGTTAGGGGTGCTGTTCGCAGGGTGTAGCTCAGCGGCACAGCACCTACCTGGCCAAAAAGGGAGGGGGCGGGGAGGCTGTTCGCGATCTCCGCAGACGCAGACCTGGGAACACGCGCCTCTGTTACCGTGCTCCTTCCAGAATGGGGACAGGGAGGGGTAGCAAGGCGGAGCGCACTTCTAAGTTTTGCGGAGGTATTTTCTAGTGTTGCCACGATGAGCTTGTGTTTCATTTGTTATAAACATTCCAAACTTCAGGCTGGGGCCGTAGCTCGGTGGCACAATGCCTGCCCGGCAACTGTGAAGTTCTGAATTTGATTCTTGGCACCAAAAGAAAAAAAAAAAAGCAAACCTCATTATTTTTTTAAGTTTCCAAAATAAGAAATGAGTTCCTATCTTGTCTCCCTGACTCCATAAGGGGTCCTGGTTGGTGGGGACGGGTGAGTTTCGGAGAGTCTGCTCAAGACCCGCCCATCCCAGCACCTCTCGCTGGAGGTCGGTACCCAGGGAACAGACTGCAGCTGGGGCTGGGGAAGCCGGTTCATTTAGGCAGGGCTGAGAAGCGCACAGTCTGAGGGCCTTATCTCTCACCTAGACTACAAATCCAGCTTGTTCAGCTGGCCCAATGTCGTTGGCTTGTAGGCCAGGTTGGCTTTGAACTTTCTGTGTATCCCTGGCTGGTCTGGAACCTGGGATCCTCCTGGCCTATGTGGCCCAGTGTTGTTGTTGTTCTTTTTTTAATTTAAATGTGAATGCCTTCATGCAGAACCTCCTCATAGCCCCAATCCCTGCTGTCTTATTTCCAGTCAATTTTGTATCTTGCCTCACCATCCCATAGAGCTTGTGTTTCAGAGCCAGGAAGCCTCTGGGCATGTCTTGGCAGCCAGTGGCCTGCTGGGGAGACAGTGGGCAGGAAGTGGAGCAGGAACCCCAGAGCTGGTTCACCCCAAGGGTGATTCAAGCAAAGGCAGAGCTGAGCCAGCTGTGCAGGCTAGGATCAGGTCTTGGGTTCCTGTTTGCCCTCCCAGCCACCTGCCTCTGGGCACACCACTTCTCTGGAAAGCCAAGGTGTGGGCCAGAGGCTACACATGCTCCCTGGTGCTCTTGACCTTCTTTTTCAGCCTTCCTTCTTTAGGACACCTGTGTCCCGAGGTTGCCGGGCACTCCTGGCAAGGAGTGCACCCCTTCCTAGTCACTGTGCCCCTTCAGGGGGTCTTCCACCCCATCAGGACCACCCACCTTTACACCTATGCACTGCTAGCACTAATGTGCATAGTGACAGAGGGAGCTGGACCCAGTGCTGCAGCTCTGGCAAAGGAATTTCAGGCCAGGGACAGGGAGGAACAGACTACTACAAACAAGCAAGGAAAGTGGTACAGATAAGCAAGGATTCTTGGTTTCAGTATTTTTTTCTTCAGGTCTCTCCAAGCCCCTCTGTTTGAGGTGAGATGAGAAGAAGTCCATGCTCCATTCCTCATGCAAGGGAGCTTCATGGTGCTTGTGAGCCTTGGAAAGCTCACACCCATGGCAGGATTCTTCGTGCAAGCTTACTTCCTTCTGGCCCAAATCACCATGGCCCAGGAAGACTTCTAGCCCTGACTCACTTGGATAGCCTCAGCTCCGATTTAAATGAAATAATTGACATTTACAGAGTGACTCACACCTGGAGAGTGGCGAGCTAAGTTCTCAGTGCTTAGAGAGTTTCACATCCTATCTGCTTCAAGTCTGGAAAAAAGAGGGGAAGACTGTGCCAGTCCAAAAGAACAGAAGCTTCTGTTTTTTCAGAACTTCAGAAAGTAAGGCAGACACCTACTCAGTGTTTTGTGCCTATAACCTCACTGGATATTCATTGTGCTCTAGGGTGTCTCAGCCTAGAACTATTGACATTTTGGGTTAGAGAATTCATTGTTAGAGTGGAACTTCCTGTGCTTTGTACAGTGTTTAAGAACATTTCTGGTTTCAGTTCACCAGATACCAGTGGCATCCCCATCAATCCCACATCAAGGCAAAACATGTCTCCAGACATTGACAGATGTCCCCACAGAGTGGCACTGAGCCCAGATGAGAGCTTCAGTCTAACTCCCTAGAGTAGTAACAATGGTATCATCCCCACCCTTAGGCAAACAAACGGAGGCACGAGCGGAAGTGGCTTGCCCAAGATTGTGACCTCTCTGTAGGAGAAGGCTCAGTGTCCAAAGCAGGGCTGCACCCTGAGCACCTTCGGCAGTGCACACAGGACCTGAAAAGAGCCTGAGCCCATGGTTCCACAGAAGGGTGATGAAGACTGAGTAGGTTTTGTGCAGGATGCTGCCCTTGGATCATTTGTCCTTTTCTTTTTGTTTTGGATAAAAGAAGTTATGTTCTGGCTGTTACTAGCTTAGTCAACTGGCCTGTGATGTGTAGCTGTGTCCAATGAGAAAATGGCTAGTAAATCATCTGAGTGCCCGAGGGCCCTGGGGCCCACATTCCTGTGAGACCCCATGCTTAGGCAGAGCACAGGTATGGGGTAGGGGTGGGGACACCGCCAGAGAAGAGGTCAGTGCTGCCCTTCTGTGACTGCCATTATCCAGCTGTCTGCAGGAGGGCCAGGGAGGAAGGGGTGGGGATAGACTACAGACAGAGGAGGGCATGGTGTTGTGGGCTGTCTTCCTGTTCTGCAGAATACCTCATGTGAGGAGCTAGAAGTTGGTCAGATGAGAGTATTTGTACCAGGAAACTTGGACAACTGTTCCCACCAGGGAAGCCCACAGCCTGGGCTGGCTGGTAACATTTGCAGCTCACCACTGCCAGCCAGCCCTGGCCCCTACCTGCCCCCAGCTCTCTCACCCACTCTGAAGGTGGTGGAGGGGAGGATGCACTGGTGTGGGTGAGGAGGAAAGGAGTGCCAGCATGGTGGAGGTGGGGCCTGGGGCACTGGGGGCTGATGCCCTATTCACAGCTGGGACAGGACAGACCTTGCCGAGACCCCCATTCCAGACCTCTTAGGAAGCCCGGGCTTGACTCAGTTCGTCTTACTTACCGATTGGCTTTCCTTTCCAAGGGCACCTACTGCAGGATCCTTTGCCTATCACCCTTACCTCTTTGGAGGATTTAATTCC